TTTTGAGAGAGACAGAGCGTGAGCGTGGGAGGGTCAGAGAGAAAGGGAGACACAGAATCTGAAGCAGGCTCCAGGCTCTCAGCTGTCAGCACAGAGTCCAGACACGGAGCTCAAACCCCCAAACTTGTGAGATTATGACCTGAGCTGAAGTTGGATGCACAACCGACTGAGCCACCCAGGTGCTCTGTATATCTTCTTTGGAGAAGTATCTAAGTCCTTTGCCCATTTTTCAAAAAAAATTTTTTTTGCATTATTGCATTGCAGGAGTTCTTTATACATTCTGGATATTAACCCTTTATGAGATACATGATTTACAAATACTTTCTCCCATCCCAAACATTGTCTTTTCACTCTGTTGCTAGGATCCTTTGCTACACAAAAGTTTTTAATGTTGATGAAGCTCAATTTATCTTTTTTTTCTGGCTTTATATTTTGCATCAATGAGTAATTATTATTATTTCTTCTTTGCTTTTGCAGGAAAAGGAGATAGAGGAAGGAAGAGATGGAAGGAGACAAATGCATTCTAAATAGATTTGTGCTTATTCAGTAAGAGAAGCAGTGAAGTTTTTTATTTCATTTTTTAAAAATTAAGCTTTTAATTTTAATCCCAGTATATTTAACGTACAATGTAATGTTAGTTTTAGGTGTACAATATAATGATTCAATACTTCCAAGCAACACCCGGTGCTCATCACAGCAAGTGCACTCCTTAATCCGCATCATGTATTTAACCCATTCCCCTCCCCCCTCTCCTCTGGTAACCATCAGTTTGTTCTCTGTAGTTAAGAGTCTGCTTCTTAGTTTGCCTTTCTCTCTTTTTTTTCATTTGCTCATTTGTTTTGTTTCTTAAATTCCACATTTGAATGAAATCATATGGTATTTGTTTGCTTAGCATTATACTCTCCAGCTCCATCCATGTTGTTGCAAATGGCAAGATTTCATTCTTTTTTATGGATGAATAACATTATGTATGTATATATATATATATGTGTGTGTGTATCATATGATAATATCACATCATATTTTATTCATCCAGTCATCTCCAGATGGACACTTGGGCTGCTTCCATAATTTGGCTATTGTAGATAATGAGAAGTAGTGAAGTTAACAATAATTTATTCAGTAACAAATATTCATTTACAATCTCTTATATTCCTGACACTGCACTTAGCACCAGGGAGATAAAATGAGTATGGGGATTTCTTACTTAGCGGGAGGACAACCAGAAAAAGTTACTTTCAGCACAATGGGATGTAATTAATATATATGAATATATAGAGGAATGCCATGGGCTGTGGTTGACAAATGGAAGTGGAAACCACTAAATGTCTAGAATAGTCAGAGAAATCTTTAAAGAGGGAGAACATAGAAGGAGAGTAAGAAATGTCTGGCCAGAGAAAGTGGGAAAGGACAACCTGTAGAAGGAACAGCATGTACAAGTAAGTATAGACATGCGTGGCCCAATTTATGAAAGGAAAATAATTTCCTGTGGCTGGAATATGGAGAAGATGGTGAGGAGGTAATGGGAAATGTGGGAGGTAGCTAGTCTGGGCCCTAACTGTGGAATCTTCAATGGTAGAAACAAGAATTTGGAATTCGATATTACAGTCAATGGGAAGTCATTAATTAAAAAAATATTTTTTCCTGTTTTCTGAAATAATCCATTTTCATTATAAAACATTGGGGGAAAACATCAAAAACAAAATAAAAACCACTGGGGACATAAAAAAATTTTTTTTAAGATTTTATTTTTAAGTAATCTCTATACGCAATGTGAACTCACAACCCCAAGATCAGGAGTCACATGCTTTACTAACTGAGCCAGCCAGGATCAAATGTTTCTATGTAGGGAGAAGCTAACAACATACCTATATCAGTATTCTTTGGAAAAAATAGTTCTGACAGAGGGGAGAAACGGAGGACAGGAGATGAGTTCAGAAGTTATTGCATTAATACCCATAGAGAGAGGAAAGTCTGAATAGAGACAAGAGTAGTGTGGATGGAGAGGTGGGGAAAGATCTCAGACACTGCTTAGGAGAAATCAATAGAGCCCAGTGACTGACTGGATGTGGGAGGAAAGAAAGAGGGGAAAGTGTGAGTAACTTTGGGATCTCTAGTTTAGGAGAACAGAATTGGCCAGATTAGTTAGCTATGACTTAGCAAAGAGCAAAGTCCTGAGATAAGGGGAGATGGGGCAGCTAAATTTTAAGGGATGCTGTTTATACAAAAGTCTGGTGTTTATAGAAACATCTGCAACAAGGGATACAAAGTGAGCCATTTGCTTTAGGAGTCTGGAGTTGGGGTATTCTTAGCTTATGGGCACACTGAATTCTAAAAACTCTGCTCAGGTACTTGGCACCCAAGGATTAATTAGACAGTTTTAGGACAATAAATATAAAAACTCTTTACTCCATTGTTAATGGGAAACAGGTCACTAAACTTTATTAAAAACACATATTTAGTAAAGTTGGGCATATGGGCTTATTCTATGATTCTTTTTATTGTTGTAAAGTAAAAATTCATACTAAAAGCTTTTTTTAAGTTTATTTATTTTGAAAGAGAGAGAGAGAGAGTGGAGAAGGGGCAGGAGAGAGGGGGAGAAAGAGAATCCCAAGCAGGCTCCACACCATCAGCACAGAGCCCGATGTGGGACTCAAACTCACCAACCATGAGATCATGACCTGAGCTGAAGTCAAGAGTTGGACGCTCACCCAACCGAGCCACCCTGGCGCCTCCATACTAAAAGTTTAAAAAGAAAAAAATTTAGGTCATTTTATCAAGTAGGGAGTAAAATAATGTCATCATCTATTCACATATCATACATTTATTGAATGTCTATTATATGCCAGGTACTGTGCTAGCCTGTATGGGGAATACAGAGGTATATAAGATGCACATATGTGCTATATAAGATTGGTAAAAAATAATGTGCAGGAGGAATTAAGGGCTGGGAGGGACTCCTGGATGGTGTAACCTGTACAATTTATTGGAGAGGACACAGGATAGAGAGCATGATTTTCTATCATGCCCAAAGAGAAGCTCTGAAACTATAATCCAGAGAGGTACTAAGATACTCCTGCCTATGCCCAATTTCTTAGTGGAGGTTGTGAAGCATGTTCAACAGACAGGGATGGGAAGGGAGACTAAGAGTGAGTTTCACCCTGCTGTCTTGGTTTTAAAAGTTTAGTTTAGATTGGAGCATTGGATATGTCTTTGATTCCAAGAAATATTTCAATTTTAAAAATGGAAAAAGGGTTTTAAAAGCATAGTTGTGACTCCAAACCTGCCATGGAAAGATTGATTTCAGTTACTTTCTAGGGCAACAGTATGACCTAGGCATTCTGACTTTTTTTTTTTTTAACCTGCTCAGTCTTTTAATTCGAAAAGTCAGAAAACCTATAATAATGCCAGCCTGCCTCTGTCTCCAGGTAACTGGTGTTGAAATAGAAATAACAAATCCAAAATGGAGTCACTTGTGCTAAGCCCCATATCAGCAAACTAAGATTAAATACCTAGCCTAATTTCAGTTTCAACCTCTCCCAGGACTGTGACTTTTAATTTTTTTTTTTTCAACGTTTATTTATTTTTGGGACAGAGAGAGACAGAGCATGAACGGGGAGGGCAGAGAGAGGGAGACACAGAATCGGAAACAGGCTCCAGGCTCTGAGCCATCAGCCCAGAGCCCGACGCTGGAGCCTCAACTCACGGACCGCGAGATCGTGACCTGGCTGAAGTCGGACGCTTAACCGACTGCGCCACCCAGGCGCCCCAGGACTGTGACTTTTAATCAGTCAGTCTGGAATTACCTGGTCAGCACTAGTGAGGTAATGTGCCTGTTAGATCCCACTCTCCCCCCAAAGGAGGGTGACCTTTTGCTAGAAACTTCTTTTTTCTGCTAACTTCTGCCTACAAAGCCTTCCATTTTGTACAGCTTCTCAGAGCTCTTTTTAACTTGCTAGGTGGGATGCATCCTCGTTCATGAATGTTGTATAAAGCCAACTAGACCTTCAAATTTACTCAGTTGAATTTTTCCTTTTTTTTTTTTTTAACATTTATTTATTTTTGAGAGAGAAAGAGAGCAAGCACGAGTGGGGGAGAGGCAGGGAGAGAGAGGCACACATAGACACACAGACTTGCTTTTCTGAATGTGAGGATATAGGACAGCTTCGCTGAAACAGAAGAGTATCTTCCTTAGAGACATGCCTTGCAGGTGCAGTCCCATCAACATTTCTTAAACTCCAAGCTAAACAGAAGCTGGAGGTACACAGATGAATAAACAGGGCCTCTGCCTTCGGGAGCTTAGGGGTCCAGCAACCAGTAGTGATAACACGCTTCGAGTTAAAAGGAGTTGCCGCCCACTTGCAGGACTGCAGGAGCTGCAGACAAGCAGGAGCGGGCAGCGGTGGCCCCAGCTGGGCTCTGGAGGCCAATGCCAGGTGGAAGTTCCAGGGCCCTTTCAGTGCTCGCAAGTTGGAAGGTAGCCCTTCTATCATTCCCCTTGGAGTCCAGAAAAAAGATCCTTTTCTATTACCATAGTATATATCCCTCAAATCAGGACTTGGGACTCGCAGAGCTTTAGCCGCTGTTTCTCTTAAGGAGCCACTACGCCCTCCAGTGGAGGACCAGCGGCGGAACCCCAGTGAGGCGCTGCAAAGTGACGGACACCTTAAAGTCGTCCTTAAGAAACTCCCTGTCACTGGCTCCACCTCCTCGCGGAGTCCCGCCCCCGACGCGACCTCTTTGTGTGGCACCGATTGGTTGGCTCTTGTGCGTGAAGACGTTGCGTCGCGGGGCGGGGCGGAGGAGCGTTGTCCGTAGGGCTTCAGCCGTGTGTCCTCGGCCGCCGCCCCCACTGCTGCGCCGTATCCGCCCCTCTTTTCCCTTTAGAGGGTACAGGCGACAGCCGGGCCCTGGGGTGGCAGCGTAGCCACCAAACGTCTCCGCCAAGCTGTCTCTTCTAGCTGGCGGTTCTTCTCGGCTGGGTCCAGGTCGGGGGGAAAATGGCGCCGGCGCCCCAAGGCGTCCGGGAGGAGCCGCTGCTGGGTTGTCGGTCCGGACCACTTTCCCGGCTCCTCTTCCTCGCCCAGGCTGTCTTCCTCTTGCTGCCGGCCGCTCGGGCAGGTCTCTGCCCCGCGCCCTGCTCCTGCCGCATCCCTCTGCTGGACTGCAGTCGCAGGAAACTACCAGCGCCGAGCTGGAGGGCGCTGTCGAGCCCGCTGCCCCCCGACACTGCCAGCCTGTGAGTAGAGTTGCCGGGCGGGGATCCAAAGGAAAGGGAGCTCCCTCTCCAAGGGGACAGGAGGGAGACACAGTTGGATGAAGGTCGCGGTTGCGAATTGAAGTACTGAAGAAAAATGCCATTATACTGTTGTGAACTTTTTTGAGGTGGGGTGGGAGCCTAAAAACCCTGGAGTTAAGGTTGTGAAAATTAGCACGAAAACCAGGGTTAATTAAGATTCTTGGGGCCAGGGAGTTTGTGATTCCTGCAGTGGGGAGGAGTTGGAAAGGGGATATTGTGAAGGGCTCACTGGACCTGGGCACCGACCTTGACTCTGGATGGTTGGGGATCCTCGCCCACTTTGGGCTGCATCATCCAGTGTGTAACTCAACTTGAATGCTCCCCAGGTACGTGATTTGATAACCACGATCGCCAATGACATAAGAACGGTCCTTTTGTCCCTAGTTCGCATTTGCACATTTGGTGCCATAGTTTTGATGCTTAACAGGATTAAAACATCATGGCTTAGGAGATCCAACGCTTTGAGCAAATACCTTTATAAGTAGCGTTTTAAAAATCTAATTCAGGACTCACTGTAAAGAAGGGAAGGAGTATTCTTTCCCAAATCATGTGTTACTTTAATTGTTTTCAGTGCATTTCTTTGTGGCAAAGAACCTAAAAATCAGTTCTCTTTGTTTATGCGTGACAAACAAGTACAGTGATTGGATTAATTCTTCTGGAGACTCCACTGCTGTGTGCTCATCTTGACAGGCCTGTGTTAGACAGTGGCACCTGGAGAGCTCATTAGTCTGAGTCAGCCTGGTGGCATTAGGAGCAACAGTAGGTATTAAATGCTGCAATTATGGGGTTTTTAAACCACTAACATACAGTTATTTCTCTGCTGCTAACTGAGCACCGAATTTATCAATTGACAGACTTCTAATACAGTCTTCTCTAAAAGAAGTGTCACAAAAAAGTATAGTTTGAGGTGCAATTAAAATATGAGGGACTATTTGGATTTTCCTTGGAAGTAGAATACAAATAGATCTCTCTGCTGCTGTTTAAAGTAATTAGACATTTACAAATAGGTTAAGATAGATAGGAAGGAAAGCTATTTCAGGAATTCTTTGAGAAAACTAAGGTAACTTAAATAACCAAGTGTCGTAGTAGCATAGATCTGTCATAAAATAAGATGTTTCTGTTGTTTTTATGATAGTGGCATCTGTAGCTAATTCTGGTTCTGTTGACCCAGATTAAATTTAAAAATTGATATCGGTGAGCAGCATAATCTGAATTGAACCTAGCACAACATTTTTGTAATGTGGCAAGTGCCTCTTTCTAAGAAATTCTTGGAACAGCTACCTGATTATCTGGTGCAGGTTTAAAACCAACACAAGTTTATTTAGCTGTAATTGAAAAAAATGTGGCTTACTTTTAAGATCCTCCATTGGTAGGTAAACAATAATTGGGAATAGTTTTATGTAACGTACAATTAGTTTGGGTTTGATTTCTGTGTAATCTAGACAAATTTCCTAAAGCCAAATGACATCCCCAAATTTTAAATGTCCTATAATGAAATTGACATTTTCAGTTGAAGTAAAATGCCTTGGAGAGCAATTCTGTTGTAGAAGTATAATTGGATGGAAGTCTTACATTAGCAGAACAACTCTTGGAATATTAAAAGATGGCATTGTGCTGTTTTAAACCGAGAAATGTAACATCTTCAGTAATTGCTTTCAGCTATAAAACCACCAGGTACACATGGGGTTTTTTTTAATGTAATTTTGAGTGTTCAAAGTAGACATAATGCTGTAAATACATAAGTGATTCAGACTCAAATGCTGAAACTTGTGGCCATCATCAAAAAGATTATAGATGAAATCCATTAATCTTGGTTTTTGAAATATGCATGTATCTGTCCCTGGTTCCTAGTACAGAGTTCCTGAAACTCTTGTAATTTCCTAAATGACAAGAGCTCTACAAGCATCTTCTGTTCTAACCCTTAGGTCTTTGACTAATTCCTGACACAGGGCTCCTAAATCCCTTGGTATTTCCTGGGTGATAGGAGTGTCTTTTGGCTTAATCAGGTGATTCTTGGTAAGTTCCTGGATAGATGGGGTCAGTCCCCAGAAAGACCAAGCCATGATTAGAAGCTTGGAACTTTCAGCCCTGTCCCCATTCTCCTGGAAGGGGAGAGGGGCTTAATAATTGCTTGTGCCTGTATGATTAAGCCTTCGTAAAATCCCAAAAGTGTGGACTTTGAAGAGCCAAGGATGGTGAACATGTCTACATGCTGAGAGAGTGGCACACCCCAACTTTACAGGGACAGAAACTCCTGTGCCAGACCCTTCCAGATCTCACCTTATGTATCTCTTCGTCTGGCTGTTCATCTGTGTTCTTTACCATATCCTGTCTTATGTAATAAACCAGTAAACGTAAGTAAGTGTTTTCCGAAGTTCTGTGAACTGTTCTAGCAAGTGATTCAATCAGTGAGGGGGTCTTGGGAACCTCCCAATTGTAACCAAGTCAGACAAGTTGTAGGTAACATGGAGACCCACTTCTTGTGATTGGTGTCTGAAGTGGGGGACAGTCTTATGAGACTGAGCTCTTAGGTCATGAGGTCTGTAACTCCGGTTAGTGTCAGAATTCAACTGAATTGCAGCTGGTGTCTAGAATTGGTTGGTGTGGGAGAAAAAACCCCCACATGTCTGGTGTCAGGAGTATTATGTGTGGAATAAAAGGAAGAAACAGGTGACAAAAGCTCTTCACTTGAGGCTTTAATCAGGCTTCTGAACCTTTCCTAGGCCATATGTACACATCCTTGTAAAATGCGGTTTTAGCAAGAACCTTGCTAAGTCAGTTTAGCAAGAAGCACTCCCCCTTGATACCTAATTGGGTTCCTCCTTCTACACCATCGTAAAGGTGATGTCTGATTGCCCTGGCCTATCTTCAGCAAGAATCCTGTTGGAGCCCCCCAGCCCCTCATGTTTCCTCTTAATAGTTTTCCATTCATTGACTCCACCCTTCACCTTAGCTATAAGATCCCTCTTGCCCATGCAGTGTTCAGGGTTGAGTCCAATCTCCTTCCCCTACTACAAAATTTCATAGCCTCACCATCCCCCAAAGTCTTCCTTACCATGCTTCAACAAGTATCATTGAATATTTTTTTCCTTTTAACAGTTTTGGTGCCACAAACTGGATAGGATCAGATTCATCATTGGACCCCCAGACCTCTCACCCAGGACCCTAAGTGTGTACCTTTGAAAGCTTTATCTTCACTCCTGACTGATTGTTCGGGGATCCATTGGTGAGTCCGACTCCTGAACCATTGCTCCGGACAAATGTCCGTGGAAGCTGGTAAGGACAGATTTTGATTGTTAACAGTCTGAGTATACCCTAGAAAATGGGATGGAGTCCCAGATAAACACAGGCTGGAGACTGGGTTAGAAGTCCCATGTTTGTCCCCTGTAAGAGGCTCAGTTAGAGTACCAGGCAAACAGTTGTTTGTAAGAAGCTAGGTTAGAGTCCTAGGCTTCTTCGTTTGAAAGCTGCCTATCAGTCTGTAAATCTCTTATTCCTGGCTCTTTTTTCCCTGAATGAGGATTATTCTCTGATTCTCTAGGCTGGAAATCTCTTCTTTTTTTTTCTTTTCCTTAACTCCTTGCACTGGAAGTCTGTCTTCCTGGCTCTCTATAACACCTCATAATTTTCTTTGTTGGATCATGCCTCTTCTGTGGGAACTTCTCAGTTGACTCAAATACTCTTCTTGAACCCCTACTAACTATGTTTTCTGCCAGTGCTGTCTACTTCCATTCCTGTTGGCATGCTTTTGCTGAGAATAATACAGAACTTCATTGGCCTCTTTTGGGCCCCAGAATGGCTTTTCAAAGAGCTCTCCCTTCCCATTGTTGCTCCTCCTTCTTCCTTTTACCACCTTCAGTCTTCCCTCCAGTTCCGTTGAATCCTTTCTTAGATCCCCTTCCAAATTCCTTCCTCCTCTCTACCCCCGTCAGAACTTTTTCCACTTCAGTCTTTATAGTCACTTGAATTTTGGGCCCCTTGCCCTCCACTGGGGACTCTCAGGGGACTTAGGGGCCCCCAAAAGCAACTACTTGAGCTGAAAAGGAAAAAGACTAATTGGAAATAGACTGGAAATTGGCCAGTTGGATGGGTTTTGGAGATATCCAGACAGCTGCTAGACGTCTTCCTTGGTCACCCACTTGAAATTTGGTCCACAGCCTCCATAAAATTACATATCAGTGCAAGGGAAGGTCTTTTTTTTTTTTTTTTTTTCAAATGTTTATTTATTTATTTTTGAGAGAGAGCATGCACTTGCAGGGGTATGGCATAGAGAGAGAGAGAGACAGAAAGTCAGAAAACAGGCTTAAACTCAACGGCAGAGGAAGGCCTGATGAGGCTCGCAAACTCCTAAACCTTATGAGGTCATGACCTGAGCCAAAGTTGGATGTTTAACTCACTGAGCCACCCAGGTGCCTGCAAGGGAATGTTAAAGGTGGTCTTTACACAATTGGTAAACAAGTAACATTAATATGGCCTGACATTTTCCAGAAACACAATTTGTATAAAAATAGAAAGTATAGACTTTTCAGGGGCTCAGTTAGTTAAACATCATGGCAGCTTGGGAATTTCATGATCTCACCGGTTTATAGGTTGAGCCCTATAAAGTCAGGCTCTTCTCTATGTAGCTCAGGCCACAGAGCCTGCTTCGGATCCTGTGTCTCCCTCTCTCTCTGCCCCTCACTCCCGCATGAGTGCACTCTCTCTCCCTCTCTCTCTCAAAAATAAACAAAAAAATTAAAAAAAAAATAGTGGAGAAAAGGCAAGAACTAATTATTTTATATAAACTAGTGAATTTGTATTACTCTGTTTTACTAACGCATGGCTAAAATTTTAGATTGAAAACAATAGCTCTCTATTTGTGTCCGTATGTATGTGTGTTTACATGTATATATGTATGTATCTTGTAGATGTGTTGTATTTTTTACACCTTTGGATGGTAT